GAAGGGCGGGAGGTGTGCGCCGAGAAAGGCGGGGTCCTGGCCAGGAGGGGAGCGACGGGGCTGGAACAAGGCCCAGGAGGCCCGCCCCCTCCTCAGTGGGATTGGTCGGGAGTGGGGGTGACAGGCAATTGGCCAGACCCGGGGCTCCGGTAGAGGGCGGGGGAAGGGGAGGGGCGCGCGCGGCGTAACCAAGGCAACGGACCCGGTGGAGGCCGCGATTGGGCCTCCAGGCCCGCAGGGGGCAGTCTCGTGCCTATCTGCCTCGCGGCCCGAAGCCGAATCACAATTCCTCATTCTGTCGTTTGGGGACCGCTCCTCTCCGTCCCTTTGCCACGCCCTACCCAGGGCCTTAGCCTGGCAGGGTCCCGGAGAGTCCAGGCACAGAGAGAGTAGCTCTCGGGATGCTGGCGTCCAGCGTTTTGCCTCGCCACTCTCTGAGCTGCTGTCAGATGAGACCCTAATAGCGAGGTGAGATCGACCTTTAGGATGAAGACAGGAGGCATATGCAGCGCTCGGCACAAAGGACGCCGTCAATAAATGGGAGTTGTCGCCCCGACCTTCGTTGTAATCTAGTCCATAAACTGCCCTAATCGGAAGTGAGCTAATCAGAGGGGTCTCGCTCTCAGAAGACTTGTGGGTGACAAAGACAGGGCTTGTTACAGGAACTCAGAGCGATACAGTCGGGGTGGAGTGTCGAGTTCAAGACAGGGTGTGGTGAGAAATGAGCCGCGGCCGGATGTTTGGCCTGTAGAGGGAGTTTGGACTTGTGCTGAAGGCACGAGGGAGCCATGGAAGGGAGGCAAGGCTGGGAGGGACTGGGCAGTTGGGGATTTTGGAGAGATGTCCCTGGCTTATCGAAGGAGGGCGGAATGGAAAGAGAGGAACTAGAGGCCAGGAATCCAGGGAGACTGCTGGGGGTGGGGGAGGGCTTGCCCCAGGGCAGGACTGCGGGGACGGGACGCAGGAGGTGTAGGTGGGAAGGACGCCCTGGAGGCGGACTGAACCGGCCCTGAGACTGGCTGGTTGAGGGATCAAGAGTGAGAGAAGAAAAGTCCAGAACAAAAATGCCGGGAGCCTAGGCCTCAGAGGAGAAGCCCAGAGTGGGACAACCAGCACCAACGGCCAGAGGCTGCACAACCAGAAGGCCTGACTCTAAGAAAAATTGGGGCTGGAGACCAAGCTTTAAGGATCATTAAAGATGGTAATTGGTGTTGTGGGTGTTAGTGACCTAGCCCGGGAATGTAGACGCGGGGTTGGAGAAAAAGAATTGACAATCTCAAGGAAGACTGAGAAGGGGCAGCTGGAGGGAGAGGAGGAAAGCCAGTAGAGGGTGGGATCACCAGCACAGGGCGGAGGAGCTGATAAATTCCATCTACTACCTCTGAATGTACGAAACAACTTGGCTGTTGGCTGCGGTGTAGAATGCTTGTGCTCCACCAGTGCTGGTTCAGTCATTCGTGTGATTGATGATTGCTTGAGTATGTAATGGATACCAGGCTCTGCTCAATGTGCTAGAAATACAGCAATCAACTCAGAAGACAAAAATGCCTGCTTTGTAAGGCTTCTGTTCTACTGGGGGAAACACACAAAAAAATAAGGGCATAGATGTAACTTGCTGATAAGGACCTTATAGGAGAGAGCAAGCTGGAATAATGGGGTCAGAATTATTTCAGAAGGAAAAGGCCTGTTTCATCAGGTGAGATTTGAACCCATAGCTGAAAGAATGAGAGGAAGAACCAAGAGGGAAAGAGGATTCCAGAAAGAGGGAACAACACATACCAGGGTCCTGGGGCAGGACCATTCACAGAATCACAAAAGAGGGAAAGAAAGTTAACAGGATTGGACTGGAGTAAGCCAAAAGCAGTGGAGGACAAAGTCCAAGAGGTAATGGGGTTGGGCTGGCTGTAGAAAAAATTAGTTTTAAAGGTCAGTGTAAGGACTTTGGTGTGAGAGGTTTTTGTGGGAAGAGGGAGAAGCCTGCCCCCCTCTGTCTGTCCCCCCCCCACCCCGTGGAACCCAGGGCCCCCCACCTATGATAGGTGAGTACTCTACTTCTGAGCCACACCCCAGCCCTAGCCCTAGGGATGTCATCTGACTGGTTTTAAGGGGAGCCCTCTGGCAGTTGTGTGAAACACAATGGTGGGAGGTAGGGCAGGGTCAGGGGAGCCAAGAGAAGCTACTTCCGCAGTCTAGGCGGGAGGTGAAAGCGGGCAGGCAGCTGGGCATGGTGGTGCAAGGCTTGGGCATGGTGGTGCAAGGCTTTAGTCCCATCCCTCTGGGAGGCGAAGGCAGGAGGATCACAAGTTCCAGTCCAGCCTGGGCAACAGTGATTTAGAGACATTTTGTCTCAAAATATAAAATAATACTTAGCCATGGTGGTGTAACCCTGTAATCCTAGTACTTGGGAGGCTGAGGCGAGAGGATTGCTGTTAGTTCAAGGCCAGCCTGGGCTACACAGTGAGACACTGTAAAAAAAAAAAAAAATCAAAATATAAAAGAGCTAGGGATGAAGTTCAGAGTGAAGGCCCTGGGCTCAGTCCCTAGTGCTGCAAGGTGGGAGGCTCAGAAAGAACAGCTGGAGGAATGGGGAAAAAACAGACAAGTTGTGGTGTCCCGAAAAGCAAGCGAAGAAACAGTTTTCAGCCAACAGCGAGCTGCTTAGGTGCTGCTACTGAGGACTGACAACTCCCTTAGAGCTGCACATGGAGGTCTTTGGTGACCCTGACAACAAGTGTCAGTGGAGAGGGGCCAGGGTGGAAACCCAACTGGAGGAGGAGTTAAGGGGAAACCAGGAGGACAAATTGGAGGCAGTAAGTGTAGACAATTCTTTTGAGAAATTTTGCTGAAAAGGGAAGGAAATGAATGAGCAGTAGCTGGGCAGGAGATAGGGTATTTGGTTTTTAGGGTGGAAGAAATAACATTGCTCTGGGCTTCGGGGACCTTAGTGACACAAGGAGAGAGGGAGAAGAGCTGCAGAGAAACCCCGAATTAGGGGGGGTCAAGGGCAGGGCACAATGGGGGCTGGAGGGAGCTGCCAGGGTGGGGCTAGGACCCTGGGAGAGTTTTGTTTGCTTGCATTTTCTTACTAATACACAAACGGTTTTCTCATCGATGACTTTCCTTTTACTTCTTTGTAGGACGGGATTAGGATTTTTTTTTTTTTACTCTATGCGTGTAAGTGGGTCATATTACCTAGGAATTTCACTTCAAGATGGGGAAGGGGAAATACAAAACACTCTCTTTTCTTTTTTGTGCTGGAGACGGAACCTAGGGCCTCACGCATGGTAAGCATCTGTTCTACCTCTGAACTATACCCTCAGCCCCCAACACACTATTTTAAAAAGGAGATACAGGACTGACAGGATCGAATTCCATTGCTGTAGACCTCAGGCCGCTAGAAGGCGCATGGGGTTGAATAAGCATGGGAAAAGCACTGTCCAGAAGGGAGGGCTTCTCTGGTGTCCCTTTAGCCACCAACATAAAGGACGGCAGGTTAGCTAGTAAGGCTCTGCACTCCCCTTTCTCAACTGAGATTTCACCTATCACAGGTCGGGTAAACCCAGGAGGGCTTCCTGAAAGAGGAGAGGAGCCAAGGGGCTCCCTACTACTTTTTATTTTTTACTGAGCAAGTCTACCATGCTGGGAGGTAGGCAAAGCTAGTTTATCTTCACAACAATCCTGACCGGAAGGGTAAAGTTCCTTAGTTAGGGTCTCATCTCACTGGCAAGGCAGTATTTGAGCCCTTGTCTGAGTGATTGCAAAGCTGAAGCCGGATAGGTCCTGAGAGATAAGGGGAAGGGAGAAGAGGGAGGAGCCCTCTGTGACAGTTGCCCCAGAATGAGCATAAACAGGATGTGGTGTTGGATAGAACCTTCCCCCTGCCCCACAGCCGGCCCCCAGCAGCCCTGTTCCCCACCCCTACAAGACAACAAAACAGAAAAGAAAACGGCTGTGGACAGAAAAATATGGTCAGGGGGCCAGGGGTAGAATGGGAAGGGCACGGGGCAGGGGAGGGAGGGCACTGGGGTGAAGGTCAGCTGTGCGGTGGGGGTCACAGTAGGGAAGGGAACCCCAGTGCAGCACAAGGCCTGGCCAGGGGAAGAGTGCAGGGGTTGCTGGGTTTAGCCCCAGGCAAACACATCCCTGTGGGTACCAGCCACGGAGAGGCCTGGCGTCCAGACTCTGCCCCGGCCCCTCCAGCTGTGTATCCTGGAGGGGGTCAGGTGGGGCAGCACCTGCCTGGAGTTCACAAAGGCCTCTGGTGGCTAGAGGGCCTTGGTCTCTTCACTCGTAGCTGGAGAAACCGAGCCTTGGGGATGGGGCAGCTGGAGATGGCAGGGCCCAGAGCCGGGCCCGCTCAGCTCCGCTCTCTGGGTGCCCTCTGACAGTCTGACTCCCTGGTCGTGTGTGAGGTGGACCCAGAACTGAAGGAAAAGCTGAGGAAATTCCGCTTCCGAAAAGAGACAGACAATGCAGCCATTATAAGTGAGTGATCTCTTTCCCCTGCAGGCGGGGGTGGGCAGGGAGGGCTGGCTAGTGTCCTTGTGGGATGGGAGGGACATCTGACCCTTGTGTGCCTCCCTCCCCAGTGAAGGTGGACAAAGACCGGCAGATGGTGGTGCTGGAGGAAGAATTGCAGGTGAGGGGCAGGGTGGGACTGGGAGACCCAGGAGCTGGGACTGAAGCTAAGAGCCAGCACTAGAACCAGTAAGACCCGATGTCAGCACAATGGTAACTATAAACAAGGGACTTTGCCTCGATGATCTGTCCCCTTGGCTGTGAAATCTGGAAAAAATAGTCCTAAATCATAGGATCATTTGCAGGTCCAGCGATTTAACGCTTGTCATGGGTTTTAAAAGGCCTGGCATATAGTATAGGCTCAATAAAGTGCTAATGTTAATAATACTTCATTGGCACCTAGGTAATTGAGAGTTTCTAGGTAAGTTAACAAAAAGCCAGCAGAAATCCTTTATGATCAGGGAGCCTTGATGTCTTTTCAGTAACATGGGGCCAATAATAAGCTGCTTTCATAGTGTTGGGATAAGGATTGATAATGGGGCCACAGAAACCAGGGCTGAGCTGGTTGACAGCGGAGAGAGACTGGCTAGGAGCTGGGTTCTTTGGACCCTCTGAAAGGAACTAGTGATGTGGTTACCATGGGTACACAGATTTAAATCTGAACTCTGCTGCTTCCTATCTGTGTCACCTGGGGCAAGGCCCTTGACCCCTATGGGCCTCAGTTTCCTCAGCTGTCAAGTGGGTATAATAATAGGGCCTACCCTGTAGGGTTCTCAGTGAATTAAGTCTTGGCACACAGTAGGTGCTCATTTAGTGGTGGTCACTTGTTTTTTCTCCTATGCATAATTTTGCTTCAGAACATTTCCCCAGAGGAACTTAAATCGGAGTTGCCAGAGAGACAGCCAAGGTACGCTGGGGGAAAGTAACGGAGGCCCAGGCTGTGGGGAGGGGGTAATGTTGGAGGCGCACACTGAGGGACCCCCTGGGTTCCAGCCCTCAGCAGTGGCTCAGGATCTGTGTTTGGAACCAGGAGTTCATTTTTTTTTTTTTTTTTTTTTT